GGGTTGTGGACTCCATCCCCAGTGTGGGGCGTGCAGGAGGCAGCCGATCCGTGACTCTCTCTCATCATTGATGTTTCTCTCTCTCTCCCTCTCCCTGAAATCAATAAAAATATATTTTTTAAAAGCATACGGGAACGAGGGGCGAGGAATTATGCTGTGACGCCCTGCAGAGTCTGAGGGCAGGAGAGGAAGTTGAGTGCCGGACACAAAGCAGCCCCTGGTGGCTGGTGAGCTGCCCCCAAGGCCCATGGGGCTGGAATCAGTGAGGCTGGGCCAGGGCGTCACCCCTTCCCGGGAGACCACGCCCTGGGAGGGAACTGAGCTCCCTGCAGATTCAGGATTCACACCCATTCTAGTGGTCATTTTAATCTACAATAAATATAATTTCCATGGTGGGGGACTGGTACATATCAGACTATTTCTAATATTTTGCTTTTATAAATAACTATGCAATGGACATCTTCACTTCCTGATTTTGGACCATTTCTTTAAGATAAACTTCCAGAAGAGGGATCACTAAGTCAAAGAGAGAGTGTGTGTGTGCGCGCGTGTGTGCATGTGTGCGCATGTGTGTTGTGTATGTGTGCGCGTTCACGTGAGGCGGTTTCTTGGGTCATTTTTCCAAGCACCTTCCCTTGTGACGACATGATCATTTCAAAAGCACCTGTCCCTACATCTCCCTTCAAACCTCCACCAGCACCGCGTGTCCGGCCGCTCCAGCGAGGGAGGAACCGGTCGCTTTCCTAGGCCCACACATGACCTGCTTGGTGTCGGCCGCGCTCTGGGCTTGGACGAAGGATGAGAGTTTCCTCTCCTGACACAGGAGCCATCACACGGCCCCTTAGCAACGTCGCCAGGAGGCCACCACAGGGTCCCCCACAGCCACTCAGCCCACAGCCTGCAGCCCGTGCGACGGTAACAGCGGCAACAGGTGAAGCCAGGGGGCGGACCTGCCCACCCCCTCAGCGAACTCCCCCCTCAGCACAGCGGAGGGAGGCTGGCCCGCCCACCGGCACCTGCTGTCGGAGGGACGTTCTCAGTCAGACGGCAGGGAAGGCCCCAGGAAACACCCTGGAGGGGCCCACACCCTCCTGGGCCGACGTAGAGGGAACCTGTGCATCGCTGGCTTGTGACCTCCCGCTGGCGGCCGGG